GGGTATCTATAATTATTCCGTTATTTTTCTGTTTCTGACTTTTTAGTGGAGCGCGATCGAATTCACTTTTCACTCTGTAGACGTTTTCGCCGGGCCCCGGAGAGACAAGTTTGAGTCCAAAAGATGAGAAGGAATCGAAAGTTTTGGATTAATTATCGATAAAAATTTGAGTTTATCCGAAAATCGGATCATGCTATTTGAAAAATCCCGGCCCCCTTACCATGTCCCCCATATTCAGGCGTCGGTATGCGGATAGTCCCCACGGAAAACTATGGCGCGGACAAAATCATTGTCCCGAAGTTCTCAATTGGATTTCGCTATTCTCTTGAATCCGTCTTCGGTTTTTATCGCGTCCAGCGGAATTTGTTCTATTATTGTTTATAAGTCCGACATTTTTGTAAACACAAATCAATAGAGGCGCCTCCACAGGCAATGGATATGCCATATTATTGTAATAGTTACGATTTGACACAATACTCTTTGAACGTTGTGTTGTGCATAACAGCGGCGCCGGGGCGCGCACGCCGAATACGCGTAACAGTATCGTCGTACCCGTTAGTTCGAACCGGAATAATTGCGGAGGAGGCGCCTAAAAATTCCGTTAATGTGCCCGTGTGCTGACAACACACGCCCAATCAGAGACTCGCCCCGGCCGGGACAGGCGGGCGGCCGCGCGGGCACATTTTACGTTCGCGAACCCCGGCGTCGCGAAACGCGAGAAAATATATTGCAAATATTTTTCCCGTACTTCTGCGTTGTCCGAACGCGCGGTGTGCGGGGCACGCGTGCGTGTGAAACGCATATATTTGTATGCACGTTTCAACGGTAACGATTACGTACGTAGGTAGGTTTTTTTTTTTTTATCAATCGATCAACGCGGTTATTTTTACCGATGTTCTCGACGCGGTTTACCGTCAAACGTAAACAATGTACAATCGAATTGATTCTCATGGACGAATAAAATAACCGATGTAATACCGTGTTATNTCGAAACGGCGATTATCGGGTGGATGATGTTGTGACGACAATTGTCATTGTCGTGATACCCGTCGGAATTGTCCGAGGGGCGCAGTGATTGCACGCGAATCCGGTGGGGAAAGCGTCGGAGGAGGACGGTCTTCGCCGACAACCGTACCGACAAATATCGTGAGCGGGCGAACCGTACGTATGCACGCGCGTTACGTACACGTGTACAATGTACAATCGAATTGATTCTCATGGACGAATAAAATAACCGATGTAATACCGTGTTATTGTACGAGGCTGGGTTTTTTTCCCCTTCTTTCTGTATTACGATCTCGGAAGATTTTACGTAAAATCTTCGGTTCCCACCTCGGAATCCTCCTCGATTTCGATGGTTTCCGGCTGTTTTTCTTCTCCAGCCACGAAAGCGTTTAATGTTACAATTGTTTAATTTCAATTTCAATTGTCAACTAACCTGCCCTTTCAACCTTAAATGACGAGTATTAGCTTTTGATTTTCTAACTATAGCCATTATAATCCATTTTCAACGCAGATTCGAAAACAAAATATTGGTTTTTTTTTTTTTTCTATTCTGCGGACGGTTTAAAGATATTTATGCCAATTTCTCCAATATATGATTGTAATAAGCTCAAATACGATCTCAATCGGTCTCGTTTATAGTGTGCGAACAACGGTCCAAACTTATAAATACGGATAAATGCATTCAAATCACATACACTAGAAACAGGCAAAATTTTGTATTCAACTATCATATAAATAGCAAAAAACTCTGTATTATAACTGAACATTGAAAAATCCATAATGGTGTATCTATACGTGTATTTGGGTTTTTAAAACGCAATTGCGGGGCGCCTCTCCATGATCCGAATTGCTTACGCGTTTTATTTTTCTCTCTCGTACGATCAATTCGGGATTATGGTTCGATAATCTGGTGCCCCTGTTAAGAGTATATCTTTTAAAAAAAAAACTTGGAACGAATCCAAAATCGATGTTTGCGTATGTTAGCGTATAAAACAAACATTATGTTGAACTGACCTTGCAATCGTTAGCTTTACAATTTCGTTTCGAATATTAAGGCAATTTAATGACTTACGCCGGCTTTATAACTTACTCAATTCTAAAATCTATTTCCCCGAAATACTTGGCCTTAATTAATATGAATAATGTTCTAAACATAACGTGAATATCCACGGACTTCATTCTATGTACCTATACTTGCAAACGTAATTATTATCTATTCGCACCGATGAATTACGTTTTACGTCAACTCTAGGTAATAATAATAATTTTGATTTTGTTTTTTTTTTTTAAATTCTCTCTATAGGAGACGAAAAACATTAATTGAAAAACATTTGTATTCCATAGTTCTGAGTTCTAATATCTTATAGTTTATAGTATTAAATATCGTCTTACTTGCTTTTTTATTGTTGCTTCTTGTTACTTGTCTCTGTTATGTATACTGAAGTAACTTTAGTCATATATGTGTGTATGTATGTATGTATGTATGTACGTACCTATGTATTATTTCCGTATACTCTATGCCGGCCGGGCGTTTATTAATAAATAATAATAAAAAATACCAGTTAACGATTGTTTGATAAAAAAAAAAAAAAAAAACCCTGTATTTTAGCGAGCAATACGGGAGGACGCGCGTACGACATGACGAAATATGGATCGCGTGCTCCGGAGTCACTTAATAAAATTAAAAAATGTTAACCTTGCACATTATCGTGCTTGGCGTCGTGGTTATAAACTCGTAGATAAATAAAAGCAATGGACGGGACTTGGCCGCAATGGTTATCATAATGTTATCATATTAGCTAATGTAACCTATACAATATCTCATCACGTCGGTGATCCGGGAAACTCCAAAGGGGCCACGGTATTATTAGATATTATAATGTCTTTCATTGTCCAAATAAACAGTGCCCGGTGGCGTGCGCAGTGGGGGGAGGTTAGGGGTTATGTCCCTGCGCCCGTCGGAATAAAAATACAGAAAAAAAAATATACGACTAATCTAATATTGAAGTGCAAGTATTTCAGCTGAGTTACGAGGAAAAGCTTCGGCGAGAAAAATGTATTGATTAGAAATTAGCTTTTTTTTAGGATCCGGCTTTTGACAAATTACCGATTCCCATAGTCACGTTGGGTAGAGAAGACGGTTTTACAATAAATTTATTCACGATTCTTATTTGCCACAATATATTCCCACCCTCGTTGAAAACTCCTGGGCACGTCACTGACAGTACCTGCCGGTTTTCGGCAGTCCTGTGTACGGCGATAAACGCGACGATACCAAAGCGGATTCATTTTTAAATTGATAAATCACGATTGGCCATTGGTCGATCATTCGGATATTAGTCGCAAAACGTAACAACCAATAACTCAACTGGCCGTAAACGTACGGCGAATTTTAGAGGTGGTTTTTTTTCGGAGTCGGTGCAAGTGTTTTCTCTCGGACACAACAATCCGCAATATAATGAAAACACAATATTTATAATAATACAATCAACAAGTAACAGCCGTTTTTAATCAATTGATAAAATAATTATAACGTGGATTATAAAAATAGTATAGGCAGTACTATTTATAATTTTATAATGTTATTGTAAACGTAGGAATTTTAATTAATTTTGTTTTCTCGTTCCAATATCTATCTGTCTTACGTCGTCTAAAACGGATAACGCGCTTTATCGATTGAATTGACCGCGGACAAAAATAAAAATAGCGCCCGGTATTTGTGTATGCGTATTATTTTTAATTCTATCTATTGGTTAGGTGCAGAATCGTCAGTATTAGATAATCTGTTGACGGGCATGAATACTATATAAATATTCTCCCCGTGATATTGTGTTACGCAAAAACAATACGAATAATGTTTCGCACGTGTTTCCGAAACTATATTATAATACGGACGTTATAAATTGAAATACACGCGTTTCCCGGGATAAACGCACACTTTGTACGGTCTATTGTCAATAACGCGAAACTCGGACACTTTGTATTATTATATACATAATATATATATATATATACATAATACATATAGTATATATAGAATAAATAAAATAAATAAATCCGCATAGTATACCATAGGTACCAATCAAAAATTATATATTGAGCTCAAAAGTGGCTCAAATTTTTCGATAGGAATTTTTATATTTACGATATGAATTATGCATATCTACTATATATATATATACATATATATATTATGTATATAATAATTTAAAGTGTCTGCGTTATGCAATCTATCTTTTTAGCCGACCGTACACAGTGTCCCCGCGTTCCGTGTTTTTAACAATAGACCTACAAAATGACCTAAAACCGTTTCCCGGCCATTTTAATTCCACTTTCCTCTAGCAGATTTTCAAAAGCCGATTTCTTTCTCGATAATCAATAGTTTTTAGAAATAATCGAATAAATAGACAATTTGAACTATCGAGTAGGTAGTTCGTTAGTTATCACTCGGCAGTGTCTATCTCCAAAGTCCAGAGCTCTGCTCGCGTTAGCTTCTGCTATGGACGAACGGACTCTACATTCTTTTTATTTCCGATTATAGATAATTTTTGACACTTTTTTAATTGCTTTGAAATGAAATCGGCTTGTTATAACAATCAATTTTCACACACCAATTTATCTTTATTAATTAGTGTAATGGTTGAAATTTATGTTAATTATTATCGACGAGTAATTTGATATTTTGTTTGGTTTCTCGATAAAGCACATTTCAGCTTGGGCTAATAATTAGAAATAAATAATGATAATGTATAATATCGAAATATCGTAGTGGCCCCATATAAAATTGTATATTATTAATTATTTCGAGTGTTAAATCTCAATCCTCTCCCCCGTTCAGTGCCGGCCCTAGGGGGGGGGGCAAGCGGTGGGTTAGCAAATTATGTATTCCGAATTTCCGAATATCACTTAATCTATAAACAATCGTAATAATATTGTCCCAATAGAACGCAAATTGCGACCCGTGTGTTATCGACGAAAATTGAGATGGTAGTATGATGGTAAGAATTATACATAGTTAAGCACATCGTTACTAGTTTGAAAGCACTCAAACGTATTTTATCAGCATCGAACATACTATTGCCGATTCTTTGAGTTACAATGAGACAATTGAATTGTTTGCATCAAAAAAAGCGCGAAAAAAAAATGTTTAAATAATATTATATATTATCAGTTGTGTTACAATTATCTACGTTTATTTTTCAATTTAAAGTAAAATATACTTATTATGTCGTATTTATGTCATCGTGTTCAATAAAATAAAAATATGAATTTATAATATATTGTTTGTACTTAAAAAAGTACCTACTCATTTTGTGTCTAATATAAAAATACAAATTTGATTTTATTAGTTTATATGTAGGTACACATTTAGATTTCTAACAAGACCTAAAAGTTTATATAATTAGATGAAAAAAGAACGGATGTACTTCGCACGTGGGCACAGCTACTGTTGTAGGTGGGAAGTTGGGGAGGTAGGATACAGACGGGAATTTAATGTATATCAGTTGTAAGCATCGATAAACCATTGCTAACGAATAAACGATTCTGAGCGGAGTTCAGTTGATAGCGTTGCTTTGTCAACAATTTAATATTTGTCATATTATCGTAAAATGATTACAACAATGTGCGTTTCCATGACAACAATGGTTGTTTAAAAAAGATTTAAAATAATAAAAACTTAATAATAAAAAAAAAATAAATAACCTAGCTGTTGCCAATGACAACCTTATTTGTAATCTTTCAATTTTTTTTTACCTAAAGCACCAGGTTTTTCTCATTGTCTCGAATATTAATCAAAATTTTTTTTAAAATTTAAAGACCTCTCTAAATACCACCCAGAGAACATTTCCTTTTAGAAAACGTACTATAGTTGATAATCGGAGTAAGCTTCTGGTAAAAAAAGTGTTCACATAAAAAAAAAATAAACATCATTGTTAAACCAATACATGTTAAACCAATGCACTCATCGCTCCACTCAGTATCCAATAAATTAAGTCCGTTAGAAAATAAAATAAACATTTATAACATTTTTATAGAAATATATACCGGGCTCCTCAAAATTCTTCACCGGGCTCTGAAATCTATCGGGCCGGAACTGCCCCCGAGGTTTGAAAGCTCTGTCATAATATATTTACTCGGAAATTTCGTAAAATATAACTATATCATTAGGTATGTCTCCCAAATTTATACTTTTGTCACGAGCACCCAGTGAGGCGGCATCATCTAAATAGTGATCAGATGGCTAAACAATAAAGAGGGATAATTCAATCTATCCATACATGAATTAACAATATTATTAGGTATATCGAATTGATGAAGGACAAAATAATCGTTTTTTAGTTAATTTTAACCAGAAATAGGATATTTATGACCTAAACAAGTACGAAATATAAAAATAAATAAAAAAAAAAAACCTCAACTTCACTTCTGTAAAAGCTTTTGTAGTAGAACACACCAGAACCTATGTCTTATACGCTGAAAATTTTATCATGAAAAAAATCCTTCATTAATAATCCAAAAAAATATTTATAAAAATGTAAATATTTTCTTTGAACTACAAAATGTTTTTTAAAAAAAATGATGATTTAAATATTATGTAAAAATTAAAAAAATGTCTTATGAAAATACTCTGAAATATAGATCATGAAAATATTTAAAATCAAACAAAAATAAATTTATAGCTGAAAATAAAAAATAAAATTAGTATATTCTGGATCTACGAAGCATGAAACGAATTTTTAGACCCTTTCGGTTTTGGTGGGTTTCGCTAGACCTTCGCAATAACTTTTTGAGTTATCGTTTTCCTTTAAATAATGATGATAAGGACCAAAAGTTCTAATTATCATATTGCATTTAACCTTTTTAATATACAATCGATGAAATTTATAGTTCGATGATAACAGATATCGTTTTTGGGAATTGGAAGCGGTGATTTTCTGTCTTTGTCTTGGACACGTGCAACATAGGAATGTAGACGTGTTATATTTCTAACACACCGCCGATTGGTCTATAGTGATGCGATAAGAATATTCCGAAAGCAGATTTACCGTCAAATCTACTTAAACGCTACTTTTCCACTTTTTTTCATATTTCATTATTTTTTTCTAACATTTCCTTCTTGGTTGTTGCTTTTTTTTTAAAATTTAGTGGGATAAAATCGGTACTTCGGAAATTGAATACAGTTTACATTTCTACGTTGCTCGTGCGTAAGTCGATAGAAAATCACCACTTCCGATTCGCAATTTTAAACAAATACAACGTGTTCAAAAGACGAAACAATTTCTTTTTCGTGTACCGCAGGGGTTAAGCGTATTTTAGGGTAAAAGGGGGAAATAAATGCAAAATCTCTTGACGTCCCTAATCTGTAATAATTATAATAATCACGAATCCTGAAATTTCGATAGTTTTACCCCTGCCCTAAATTTATACGGATCGAAGCAGGGGCGGCTCCAGAGACTTGATTGGGGAGGTAAGTCATATTTTTTCAAAAAATTGTAATAAAAATATATTTTATAGGTTTATTTTTTTTTTTTTTGTACAGTTGTTTTTAACAAAAATACGGTCTTAGGGGGGGCCGCGGTCCCTAAGCTCCCACCCCTCTGAAGCCGTCCCCGCGGAAATCCGTATCCGAGTCACACCTAACCCACAATTAGTGGTCACCGGTTAGGTCAGGTAATAATAGTCGAATCAAAAATGACCGCGGAAAAAACGATTCCGAATAAAAATGTTTACACGCCGAAATCGTCACAGTAAAAGAAAAATAATATTAATAAGAATTATGCGTCGCGATAGTCGATACGTGTATAGTGTATACATTTATGATATTACGTATTGCCTGGCGGCTAAATATTTAATTTAGACACACAAACCGTCCGTCGAACAATAATGGTAATTTCCCGAATTAGTACACGTTCCTGTATGATACACACCGTATTAATAATATCATAATAATATGGGTTTTCGGGTAAAATAAAATTGTTGAGTATCCAATTAAATAGTCGGGATTTTACTGTTCACGAGGAAAACGGCATGTGTTAAAAGAAAATTAAAATTTTCGGAAAGCCTTCGGAGGGGGGCATGGCCCCGCGGTTCGCCGGCGGCGAGCGACAAACCCGGTGCCGTGTCCGCGAGCGCGTAAAACGGCCGCGGTCTTGTACGCAACATCAGGTCGCACGTGCAGTTACAATATCGTCACCGGCACGGGCGTATTTTTAATAATGGTGAAAAAACAACGGCGTCCCGAGTGCCGCGCCGCGGTGGGGGCAGCGCGCGGCCGTATAACTTATTGGTTATTTATAATCGGCCGCGGCGGCCGTTTGTTGGCCGACGACGTTTCGACGACCACTTGTCGGGACCGTCGGGCCGCCGCACGTGTTTTTTAAAACGCCGGGGCTGGCACGCGTCGCCGCCGCGGTCCACAAGTCGTCGTCGTCGTCCGGATTTATTTTTAAACCGTTGACCGGCCCGCAAGCCCGTTCGCCCGCCTGCCCGCGTTACGGCGTTACAAAATTACTATAATGTGGTAAAATGACCGCGGCGTGGCGTGTCGAGAATCGCCGGCCGGTGTCGTATCCGCGCCGCGCATAATACGGGTGCGTGCGCGTGTGTGCGTAAGGCGGCGCGGGCCTGCCGCCAGCCGTCGCGCGTCGTCGTCGTCGTCGTCGTCGTCGCCGCCGCCGCCGCGGAGGAGCGGACGCACGGTAACCACCGGCCGGGCCCACGACTGCGAAACGCCGCACCGCGAGCGCGCGACCACACGACGCCGCGTCTCGTTTTTGTCGCACCACCGCGACCGCCGCCGCCGGAGACCGGACCGCGGTGTTGTACTGGCGTACTGCGCGTAAGGCACCACACCGCGCGCGACGTGTCGGCGTCGGCCGTCTGCGATCAGTAGACACGCGTACCGGCGCGCCGAGGAATGACGACGTGCGTCGCTGCCGGCGAGCGGCAATAGCGGTTCCAGTCTTCTCTTCTACGATTTTTCTATTATCGATTCCGCGGTAGCCGACGACGCGTTCTTATAGTACAGCCGCACACCGCCATCGCAGACGAACCCGGTAAGACTATAATCGTATTTTAATAAGCATATTGTAGGAAAAAAAAAAAAAAATAATCTTACTCGCGCGCATGTTCTAATAATATTATCGCGGCTACTCTATGGCTAGAAAAGGATTCGGCGGCGGGCCGATAAATTCGAAAAAAATTCTCGTGAATTAGGTAGATACGCCTCCCCCCCTTCAAGGGAACCGCAACTCGTACAAATTATTTGTAATTTTCATTAATTTCAAATCGAATCTTATGAAACAAATGTACTAAATCGCCTGAATGTTTACAATGCTTATATATTATAATATTCAGTAAAATATCCAGTGTTAATTTTTCGCGTACGCGGTATTCACGGTAGGGCACCTTGGCTGAACCAGGTCCGAAAAAAGGCACCGCCGGAAAATAAGCTTGGGAACCGCCGGTTTCGTGTGTCTTTATAGTTAATATATCAAGAAAAAAAAACCCATCGAACTTTTACATTTTGTGGTTAAATACGGAGCCCATTCGAACATGCACTACAATACGAAGTTAGATTTGTACTTAAACAATAAATAAAGTAAATAATTACTTACCTATACGAACGTAGATAAATATTGTAGAAAATTGATTTGTCTTTTATAAGTTGCGCAATACGACAAAATTTCCAAATCCAATATCTCCACCTCCCTCCTTGGCAAACTACTGAATGCATCACCGACACGCTCAGCGCGCGTAACAATTACACCGTTGCAGTTATGTACACCGTCGGATTCCCAGTTTTCCAGGGCCCAGACACATATTGTTTTTTTTTTCTGCGCTTAAAATTAAATTTTCCGAAATTGTTGCCGTAATGCTCCACGGGTAGACGAAAAAACCCAATCGCTTATAAACTAACCAGAGATTCCGTATTGAGATCGATCGTTATAATCGCTAATAAGTTCGGGACTTTGGGTTTTGTTGCATTTTTTTTTCTTTTCTGCCTACTACACCGACTAGCGGTTAGCACGCCGTCTATATAGCAGCAGCCGGTTAAAGTCGCTACGTGGTACTACGCTATACTCAGTAATATCACGAAATACGAAATGATTTAATTCGTTAATTACGTCAACATATAACATAACATTATGTCTGTTCAACGTTTATTTTAGGCGCAAAAAAACTGTATGAAAAATGAAAATAAATTGTTCGATTCGATCGCAGGACGACTTTCGATAGTTACCTCTTCCCCCCCCCCCTTAACCCTCACGGTTTGTCGTAGCGTGTAATATGTGAATTTCGAGTATGATTTTTGAAATTTCACGTATTCTAAACCGTTGTTTATTGTTGATTATTTTGCATGACATATAATTTAAATAATTAATTGTAGTTAACCTAAAAAAAAAAAAGTTGTAGATGCGCACCTCCTATATATGCTGAGCTTGAGTCGGAGGTGTAGTTCGGAATAATAAGTTTATACTAGGTACTAACCGTTACCCGGTTAAAATAAAGTAACGGGGAAAATTCGAACAAGTAAATTATCATTTAAAGCACTAAAAACTTACGAGCGAAATAAAAATCTGTTGAAATAAAATCGAAATCTCGCGTGTATTACGGATTCGCTGTAGACAGATAGCAGTCGAATTATTGTAATAATACAGACGCAACAATATTATACCGGCGTACAATGTTATATTTTTATTATACTAATTTATTTGTCGATAATTAGCATAATTAATTTATCGTCCGTTATCGACACAATATTAATTAACGGATTAAACGGTCGAGAATAGTACACCTGCACGTATATCGCGAGCAAAGTCCGAACGCCGCAGCCGACCTTATCGCACACGGTAAAACATTACGACACATGTGACGGTGCCGATGCACGGAAACATTTTTTGATTATTGTTTTATTATTATTTATTTTTTTTTTTCTCTAAATAAATTCTCTTTCGGCCAAACGAGATACGTGATTCGTGAATCGTAGCTGATATTTTTCGAACGGCAACGAAATATTAATTATTAATTAAATATTTACGTAACTAACCAACGTAGATCCGTATTGTTCTGCACCGAGTATATTATGTTTCGCCGGTAATAATATTATTATTATTATTTTAAAACCGTATCTGTTGCTAAAACGATATTATTATTTTCGGTTTCGGTCGCGTACTTAGCGGAATGTTTATGGCGAGTATATATTACACGTGCGCCCGCGGGAAATGTATCAGAGTATTATAAAATCAAACGCCAAAAAGTACGCTTAAAATAATATTATATTTGAAATGTTGAAATTCAGGGGAGGAAGATGCCCCGTCGTGCCCCCCCTCCGGGCGCCCGTGGCGAGTAATTAACACTCGGGCGCGGGACCCGTAGCTGACCCGAGTTTCCCCCATGCCCTGCGTCGAGTATTTTTGCGCTTATCAATTGGTGTCTCGCGAAACGGTTACACCTAATTTCGGTTTGTTTTTTGTCGAATTTTCCCCGAAAATCGAGACTATTGCACTGTTCTATACATACGTATCTTTTCCCCGGTACTTTTGGACAATTTTAACGGCTACCACTGGAACATACGATGAGCTCCAACTCGGGAGATTTTTTTTTGGTAGACGGATTGAACAGATACGGTTTTGGTTGAATTTAAATATAAACTTCACAGCGTTATCGGGAGAAAATGGTGTCTTTAAGATGTATATAGTTTTACATCACTAAAGACCCATCCCCAAATAAATCCAGGAGAACAAAATTTCGTATACGCAAGGTGTAAGTGTCAAGGAAGTGCCGTTTGATGGTTTCGACTTTCAACTCTCTCTCCGAACATTTTTATGCTCGGATTTCATGTTTTCACAGGAAACACCGGATTTTAAATAGGTACTCTATAACATACTCGTGAAAATAAGTAACTTGGTTAAAATGTGTGTATTTATAAATAGAATTGCTGTCTAGAATGAAATATTGTAACGGCAACAAGTCGGTCGGTGAAAATTCGACTCTATTGACGGAGTTCTGCTGTTCGTGCGAGTTTTTTTTTTAGATCCTGAATATAATATAACGAAGAGATTTATATTTTTACGCGGTTTTTTACTCGGAAAAAACTCATACCGTTAGCGAAAATTGTTCTGATTTTCGCATACGCTCAAACTTCGAAAAACGTCGAAATTCTGCACGGCGGTAATATAATTCATTCGGGACATTTATCCAAATTTTCAGCAGTTCACACACGCCCTAGGACATTTTTGTCGTCGTTTGATATTTTCTAGGTCGTTTATCGGCAACAAGTGAAAAAGCGCGTCTAATACCGGGTGGGAAAACGTCATAACCGATGAGGCTCCTAGCAGTGGCCTAGACCAGGGCATTATTGGACATGTAAGGGTAGTTTTGAATAACCCCTTATTTTTTTTTTTACTTATCGGTCCGGCCTATAAGACCTTAATACAATATTTTGCCACGGGCATCAGAATTTCTATTAGTTACTACGCTACCGCGTGCAGCATAATATATGTTTACGTAAACTAAATTACCCCGTGTAATATCCCGTACCCTTCCCAACTGTCCGCCTACAACAGTGGCTTACCCGCGAACAGTAGTACCTATTAACTTAATTTTTTTTTTTTTGTTACTATCGTTCATCCGGTTCTCGCATACGAAATTTATTGTCCGGACGTACCAACAATGTTTATTCCGCCGAGTGTATATATACTGGCTGTACGTTATTATTTTAATACGCGTATTAATAGTAGTTATCGATCGGTGGTAAAACAATTATGTATAGTAACGATAAAAATGTCTATTCCGTCGTTTTTACTTTACAATCGTTCAATAGAATATTATTCGTTAAAAAAATGTTATAAATATTATCTAATACACACATCTGTTGCAGATTGTATTTATACAGTGGCAGCGTGCAGCATACCACGGTCGGTTTACCGGACAGAGGTGATAAAAAAATTCGTTCTAATCGTTTTCTCGTCGTCGTCGTCGTCGTCGTCGTCCCGTAAACATTATTATTATTAGGTATCATTTACAAACGTTTCGGTCGCTGTAAACGCAACAATACCGTGTTGTTTTTTTTTCTACAATTTTCTTTCTAAATCCCGAGTTTCTAAACCGCCGGCTAGCCGGGGCCGAGATCGATCCGACAAACCGATCCGGTTGATCTGTCGTCGTGATATACAGGTACCCTATATACATATTATAGGTATAGGTATTTACTTAACTGCTAAGGAAACTGCCGGGAGATCCGTACAGTTCCAGTACGTTTGTCACGTCGAAGGTTGTTACGTCATCGCCGATCGACGGAAAATATCGTACGGCGTGGCGTACACACGGGTTTTGGTCGGGAAAAGCGATCCGGAAGTCACCTGTACAGAAAGAAGAAAAAAAAAACAACGATAATAATTATACACAAACCCCCCCCCCACGCCAACGTCGAATCGCCGTATCCCGAATCCGCGTGTAATCGATTTTCGTCGCAGAGTGGTCTTTCGTAACGAAATCCGCGTTTTCGATTACGAACGTCGTTATTATGACATTGGGCCGCGTTTGAATACGTTTAGCGATTATTAAAACTTGGGTGTTTTTTTTTTTTCAATCGTGATAAACGGACAGCTCTCGACGAAAGTAGTATTAATTTGTTCCTTCTATCGCGCAAGCAAAACGCCACGCATGAAACCCAAAAATGTTCGCCTCTTTATTCATATTTTTGTTCGTTCCTTCTATCACGCAAGCAAAACGCCCCGTGAACATTTGGGCTCTTTCGTCCAATCAACGGGCTCTAATAAACAGAAATTTAATTGTATTTTAGATTTTGAGTGGAACTTAGAAGAAGCTTATGGTTTCACCAAAAATGTTTATTTTTTTTTTCCGCGGACAATTTTTTTACCAGCAATTTTGCTCCCATTTATAACGATAGCTCTTTTTCTGAAAGGAAACCTGACTGGAAAGTTATTTTAAGGATGCATTTTTTTGATTTTCCCTCCAGGACTTTTTCCAATAAATGGGGAAAACCGGGAAAAAACATGGGAAAACCGTAGAAAAAACGGGAAAATAGGTACAATATTAAACAAATATTATTAAAGTAAATATATAATGCCTATGTGTTACATGCCTATGGTTTATCGTTGCTTAAATATATACATTAAATTTCTACTCTACTATCTTCCCAACTTCTTACCTACGACAGTAGCCCATCCACGTGTGAAGCATGTCCGTCGTTTATTTATCGTTTATTTTAAATATTTGTAAAACTGTACAATTTTTAATAATTTTCTGTGTTAATTTTATACAATATGTAATGTTTCTTAAATAATATTACTATACAAGTTTTCTGACTTCTCTGGTTAATGGTATATATTCTACAACACGATCATGAATTAATATACAATAGGTTGTTACACCTTTTAAATTTTTAGAGGCTTCTATTTCCGAAGTTACATGGACTGAAGAAGCTGTTGCCGAATCATTTCGTTTCGAAATATCAATAACAACGATCGGACCCCTTTCCAAAAACTGTATAGAACTTCGCACTCCGTTTTCATATTAAGTCTCTTAGAACGAAATATTAACGAAAACTTCACCGATCGCTGGATTATTATCGACTGAAATGTTTATTAAATAATCACACGACATATTGTATATTCGACAAATGGCCTACGACTAAAACTTGAAAATAATTTGTCTCATGTGGAGGAAAAATACATTTTAACAAAACCAATTTAAAAACATGTGAAAATAAAATTATTGGATAAAATTCAGGCAGAAAATTAATAAAAATTTTACAATTTTACAAATATGTAAAATAAACGTTAAAAAGTAATAAATATTAACTGAATTTTTGTTGATTATTTGAAAAATAATAAAAAAAAAAAAACAAATTTTCATGTGGCGTTTTGCTGCGTGTTAGAAGGAACGAATGACAAAAGTATGAAAAAAAGCTCATAGTCGTCGCCGAATTCCTAAACTTTAATAATGTATTGGTTCGTCTCGGGAAAACTCGGTAAGTAAAATACATTGATAAATCCATTGTAATCTATTTCAATTATCAAATCAGACGTCGTCGTGTCGAACTATGTTTATATTATATTATTGTTTTCGAGTACAATGAATCTCAACTAAAACCCTATTTATAGCGAAAACGATTACAAATATTCAACGAATCTCGTTTTTCTAAATTAAAATGTTAATATTTTCTATTCGATTGGGCCGTGACTTGAGGTTGGCGTTTGCGCGCTCGGTTAAACTGCGCATACGGACCGCATGAACTGAAAGTTGCGCAAACTGTGTGTCAATGAAAATCGTACGACTGCATTTTTAAACGTTCAAGTTCTAGACCTACTGAGGGCGATATCTGACGGTGTGTCTTCATCGCCACTCCCTTTGAGAACGCCACTGTGGTATATAAGGTTAATTATACATTTATGCTGTAGTAATTTCGCCTACACGAAATAGCGGGGTTTTCTTCCGGAGTATCGTAAACATCAAAACACAATTATTGATTATAAATAGTAATCGACGATAATATTTGTCCAAAACTATTATTTTACTGCGCGTACCTGTCTGGCTGTCTATAACAATATTATGATATTGGCTACGTAATATTATAAATTCGACTGTATTTCCGTCAATATTTCTATTTTTTCTATAACATTTTGTGCCTTACGCGCAGGGGCGTATCGCCCCCAAGAGGAGTGGACTTACATTGGCATTTAGCATAGTCATCAGTCCAGAAGTAGATATAATCATTATATTATTTGATATAATTATTTTTCTTATCAATCATTAATATTAAAATTAACTTTTTCAACACTAGGTCTGGAGACGCCCCCGCTTAAGTGGAGTATTTTATAGCTTACTTGTGGTTTATACTGTTTATGGGAAATTTCGATATAAATTTTACTTCTTCTTCTCCTTCGCTTTCATCCCAACTATTTGGGATATTAGTTCTAAACTTCCATCTGACAAGATCTTCCCCACCTCGCTTACACCGGCGGTCCTCGTATTATTCTCAATTGCATCGATAACCATCTATTTTTCAGTCTTATATCAGTCGTAGAAAAAACTTTAAAAAAAATTTAAATTACCATAAGAAAAGTCTCAACATTTTTTTTATTCTAATTTCCTTTCGGAAAAGGTACTACACTCAAAAATCGGAACAAGATTTCTGGTAGAAAATTTGTTTATAGGAAAAATAATAGCAATAAAATCAAATAGACATCATTGTAAAATCAACACGTTCCTCGCTGCTCTCAGTCTCACAAAAAAAATAAATAAAAGACAACACAGCTAGGGGAGGTGAGACCTTCTCCTATATATATATATATACATCTCGTATATGGGGGGGGTCCCATTTACGAGAACAGTTCCTGCGCACGCGGAATACGCTCCCCGATGTTGTTAATATTGTCGGTGTGCACTGCGTTATTTCTAACGCGAGTCCAAAACGCCGCCGCGTAAGACCGCTGCGTATACGCAACGACGGCCGCTATATATACACACGCGGGCACGCACATACGTAATACGTATACGTACACACACACACACACACACGTACGTACAATCGTATATTACGTACGTGTAATATATTATTATTATTTGTTTCTGACGCACACGTTATTATTATGCACATGTGTGTATGTGTGTGTGTGTGTGTGTGTGTGTGTGTGTGTATGTATGCGTGTGTGTGTCTGAACGCGCGCACTCCAAGTCGCAGCTGGAACCGCCGGCCCGATATAAAACTGCGTGCGGGACGGCGCGGTCATAGTATACGTGTTACGATGTGCATGCAGTGTATAAAAGTCGTCCCCGCTGCGGCGGATGCGTTTCTCTCTAAAAATAATCCGCACGAGCGCCGCCGCCGTGCCGTGCGACGACGACGTGGTGTTCGCCCGTAAGCTGCAGCCGTCTTTTGACGTCGTCGTCCCGCCGCCGCCGTCCGCTTCCCCAACCTATAGGTCTTATTTCCGTGCTTCCCCCCTCCCCCCCTGCTCCCGCTTATCCCGATAGCCGCGCCGCACAATCCCTTTCGCCCCGACACCCGCCGTCGCCGCTGCGATCGGCCTGCTCGAAAACGTTCAGGAATTATCGTACACCGTCGCGCCGCCGAGCTTAAATATTAATTGTAATAATTGTCAACTGCACGTTACATTATACCGGGTGTCCAAACGTGTTCGACGGATTTCTCTACAGAGCTGTTAATATTCAAATATTATTGGTTTTGGTTTTTTCAGCGCGCTCGTCTATTCGGAGAAAAATAATTTCGAAATTTATTTCCAATGTAACTTCTAAAACAAAAAAATCAAAAATAGCTTACACAATTTTCGAAATAGCCATTTTGTAAAATTATGTATTGTTCCAAAAATTGCATTCATATCCGGTCAACAGTTTTTCAAACAGCTCCAGAAAAATCCGTCTAACACAGTAGAACACAGAGGTAACTCCAGAGACTTGGTTGGGAGGCGGCTAATTCATATTTTTCAGAAAACTGTATACCAAAAAGCACATTCAATATTTTATAACATTATACTTTGTAGTGTATCTCTAACTACTCTTAACTTTTACGTGTCTGCAATAGTCGATGGTATATAATTTTGTTTATTTTTTCTGTAAAATTTGTTTTCGACTAAAAATACAGACCTGAGTGGGGCCATGGCTCCTAGGCCCCCCTGGAGCCGCCCCTGGTAGGACACTCAGTAGAGACGTTCGGTTTGCCGCGGCCGCTTTGGCATCCCGTTTCTCACAACGTTTTCAGCACGGTATTTTTGATTCTTTTAGACTCGGAATGTTTTCCGATCGTCAGATTTCGTCCAATATTCACGAGCATTGAATTTATTGCGGGCGCGTATCGGTCGCGAAAAAAACGAAACTATAGCGTTCGGTTTTCGACTGCATCAGCTTCCGCGGTTATATTTTGCGCATTTCAGCAATATCTTATTGTTCTCGTTTCGACTTCCATTCACACACACACACACACACACGAGCCAAATTATATATTTGTAAACAATGCGATTAACGCGTTTGCGTTTATATATACTGCCGTAATAGTACAGAAAATCCGTAAATATTATTATTACGATTACCGACGGCCGAACGTTAAATCATCAAATGTCAAACGTAAGAAAAATCGAATCAAATTATACACATTCAAAATGAAGAACTTAACTTAACTCGATAATTATTATTGGAAAATAAAACTTAATAGCTGTGTTTTGAGCTCGGCGCTGTTTCAACGAAACCGGGCTATTTTCATTAATGTTTTTGAAGTAAAAAACACCCGCGGTCACGTCATTCGCGATAGAGAAGGGGGAGGGGGTATTCGATCGAGTCGTATGGCTTTTAGCATTATCACGAGTCGGCAAAATTGACTTTTGGATCCGGGGGAAAATATCGACGAACGTTACGCGTATACATTTCGCTCGTAAATCCTCTCGAATTCAAATCGATCGATTTTTCCCATTTTCCGTGCGATTTTTAACACGTTTAAAATTTAAACGCCGCGCGAAAACATTCGTTTCTGAAAATTCACAAAACGTGTTTCGGGTGTATAATCAGTGTGGGAGGAGGGGTGGCGGTGATGGTTCTGTAACCCCGCGCATTGCGCAACGCCCGGGAGTCTTGGAATGCCATTGAACGGAGCAAAGCTTATCGGTACAAATTAATAATAATAATAATAATACCAACGCGACGATCGCGCACGTGCGTTTCCATTTGCGGACGAAACGATCCGCCGTCCGTGTGACGGGTATTTTTATTTTCATTAGTTTGCCCCTTGCGTCTCGGTAGACGCGCCGCCGCGACCAAAAATAAATCGCGTGTAAACGGCGCGGCGACGTGTTCGGTAGCCGGCCGGCTGGGCAAATGTCACCTGCGGCGGCACACGTCCTCCTCTTCCCCGTCCGCATCGCCGCGACCGCGGCGTGTTAACATGAGTCACGGAGCGGCTGCGGCAGAGCGCAGGACTACTCGGCGCACACGTTATTTGCGTACCACGTGCTGCCGCCAGTAATGCGTGTTCTCTCCGTCCGGGTGGTGATCGTCACCTCGGTGGGGGGGGGTGAGAGAGAGGGAGGGGAATGGTTGAGCCGCCGTTCGGATAACGCCGACCGATTCTTCGGATTCTTGTTGTCGGGTGGGCACTCTATTTCGAACTTTGGAAACGCGGGGGGTTACGGGCGGGGTCGGGTGTCGCTCGACTCGCGGGTTTACGGCGTCGGGAAAATTCGAACATCCTCCCCGAACAACCCGCAGCCGTGTAATGCCGTCGAGTATTTACCATCGAGGCGCATTTTTACACGGCGACGGTACTGCCGCGACGCTCTACGACAGTTCGATACTGTCACGGGACGACGAGAGTACTGCTTACACGCCAATGCAAATCGCGTGTCGCTGTCGCGAAACTGTCGTCGTGTGCGTCGCACGTCAGTAGTCGTGACGGTGCGGCGATACCATCACGCCGTTGTCAAGAGGAGCTGCTAGATAGTTGTAGCGCTTAATGTACGCGCGCCAACGACGATAAGATGGGTATTAAAACACGAATCCCAACTGTGTTATTAATATTATTATAACATTTGTCGACTTATAAATAGATTTATTGCCTCGTTCGGTTCGTTATCTATCAAGACCCTCGCACGCCGGGCCAGCGGTTCCCAAACTGCGAGGTGCGCGTTCGTACCGTCAGACTTTTGGCGTTTCGGGACTCGGAACCGCGTGAAGCACGACGAATTGTCGTCGAAATTAACGACCTAGGGCTTCTCGCGCGGGTGTTGGCGTGGATCGGGATTTTCGGCGGCAGCCGCGCAATCCAAATATCGGTCTACACCGGAAAAAGGAATGCGCGTATAGCAGTTGCGACGGTGCGCTACGTAACTTTGATACACGCGGAAACGATCACGATCCGTAGCCCGTTGCATTTTCAATCGCGTTCAACCGCGTGAGAAAATTCGCCCGTTTTCGGGGAGATTTGAATAGGAAAAATGTTGGGAACCGCCAGGCGCTAAAGCGAACGTTCGCTCGAAATTAAAAACGGCCCGTTCGCACCGCGTGAATAACCGGACCAGTAAAATCCGCCAGCGTCCGGCGATCGATCGCCGGTGTTTAGTTTTAGGCGAACACTCGCCCCGGGCGATGCCGCGATTAATTTAACCGCGACGATTATTTCCACTATTTCCAGTTAAAGAGTGACGCAGTATCGTAACCTTATAAAAAGGCGATAGAGTACACGCCGATTATACGTAAAAGAGGTGGTTGGCTGCAACCCCCTTCCTCAAAACTTATTTATTTTTTTTAGATTCAAAAATCTGGATTTACATTGACTGCTACAGTCTTAAAAGTATACTCGGTCGTGCACCGTTAGACATCCCGATTTTAAAAATAATATTACCCACGCGTAATATTATTGAGTACCTGTTATTTATGTATAGGTAACATTTCCTATTGATAATGAAATACCAATCGCTTGCGTTAAAACTTTCAAGTTGAACTCTGTACATTACGGGTTACGGTCATAGACCATCGTGGAGTCGACGAGGCCAGAAACAGTATTGTTCTCCCAGTTTAGGCATACCCATCGTAATCATATATATCATGTCAAAAGTTGTGCGTGCAATTTATTGTATTATAGTCTTAGTCTTAGTTATCTATATATAGTACTCATACAGTCACTTTGAAATATTTCATTCGGTGTATCAATTAGATCAATTAGTTGTATTATTTGATAATATCTGGTTGGATTGAGCCGTTGTTACAACAATATAATGTGTAGAATATTATATTTTTAAAACAGAAATACACCGCCTAGGTCTGCAACACCTATTTAATCGGATATTAAGCCGAACGTTAGGAAACAATTGGGTACTCGTAATCACTTCGACCCTTCTGTAGATAAAAATGTTGACGCGAAAACGGTGTATGGTCCAACACATTCTAACCGCTTAACGGTAAAAGGTAGGGAAGAAAAATAGTGATGCGCAATTGATATACGCCCGCCCTATATGCGTATTAAATATGATACAATGAGTGTGACATCAATAAGTCGCACCGAACAAAAAATCGAGTAGTAGTTATGCGCCTCGTGTACCCTCGTATACCCTCGACTACACCACTGCGGTTATCGGTATTATACCGGTACATCAAACGATGAAATCGACCGTGCGGTAGGGTTTTCTAGAACCCGGAATCATTGGCCTTCATTCGGTCCCGTTCGTGTTTAGAGGATGGACCCGAAAACGCCTGTTCGTTTCGTTTTTTACCGGGTTTTTTGTTTTTTTTTATGTAATCGTTTTAATATGCTAGCTGTCAGCGCGATAAAAAAAAAGTTTCTCCCCGTGTCCGCCGAATAGGTAATACAACACGTTGCGCGACAGTATTTTCACCTCGAATTCAAATAGTGATTACCGACTTATTATAGACAAGTATTCTAGAGTTTTACAAATATATACAACCCATTGGTTTATCGACGCATTAACGGATCGGAATTAATTGGTATATCAACGATAAAATACACAAAACTATGGGCATCTCTGCTCTCTGAACCAGTGTTAATCTTAATCGAAAAACAACTTATCTGGTAACAGTGATAAACCCGCCCAACCATTTTAGTCGCGAGGCGATTGCCTCGAAAAATCCTGCTTTGGCACGCCACTATATCCAAATAATGTATTATGATGCAAAAGAGATAAAAAAAATGAAATGATCTCTGCGGGTTATCCTCGGGAGATTGACTTGTACGACCGCGGAAATTATGCCTTTTTTAAAAAGATACGTACCATTCCGCAAGGCATCGTTGTTTTGAAGTATTTCATAACCATATGGTTTAGCCGGCGTTAGCAACATAAGCACCCGAAAATAATATTTTCTTTACGACTTGATTAATATCGACATATCTTATACTTTCTATAAATATAACATGCATGCATTATGTATATAAATAAACGTCCCGGAAGAATTAATGTTGTAAATGACGGTGAAAACCGTAACGAAATCCGTTGCGTAGTTTTAAAGAACTAGCGCGCAGACAGATTTTGTTTGATACTATTTACAGATAATATATACATAACAATTACACAAGGCAAACAGTCTGATTAGGAATAAAAAAAAAAAAAAACAATCCGTGTTCAAAAAAAAATTGTAATTAAAAAACTTTTCGAAATGTACGCACGAGACCGCGAGATCATATCACAATTAGTAACCACACGAGGTAATGATGGAGGAGGGGGACCGAAAATAAAACAGCCGAACCGTATGTAAACCGAAAATATATTTGAATAGAAAAAAAAAACAGTCGACGGTGTTTTAGCCGAAAATGTTTCGCTCGTTATTGCTCGTTATTGTTTCAGAACACTTGATGCAGATGTAGCATATTATAATTTTTAAATGGAAGACGTTCTGATAAACGATAAGGAAACTTTGACCGTCGATATTTTGAACAAATAGAAACGCATAGAAACCCGCACTGTCACAGTCAGTCTACCGCATTATTATAATCCATCTAACCAGCCGTTATCACACATTATTAAATTGTTCGGTTTTTTTTTCCACGGTCGGCTGTACACTACGATGAAGTACGTCGGTTTTCACCGTCACGGTAAAACACGTAGGTCAAAACCGAAGTGTATGGGCAAAAGCCGACGACGGAACACGACAGTTTTTATGTCTGACGAAACCTGATTTTAAACACGACGGCTATATTGTACCGAAGAAAACCGTCGTATTTTATCGCAGTGTATGCATATTGAATAGATAATAAAGAAGTGGATACATAGGCCACTCCTACAACAATATTGTTAGTGATGTTCCCGGAGTGGCGGAAAACTGAGGCGATTTATCGTTCAACGTCATGTATGGATAAAACGCCTCACTTAATGAAACTCTTGAAACGACTGTGCCCGTCCCTCTTGGAACACTGAATAGGTATGGATAGCCTGTCCACATCTCTATTATCCACGGCGGCCGTATTAACAATACGTTCGGCAAAAATAAATTTTTGATAAAATTCGGCTTAGATATAGCCGCTGTCCGGTCGAAATATTTTACGTTTTCAATTATTGTCCGGCCAAAATATTTGTCTTTCTATTCATTTATCGGCCGATGTATTTTCGTGTTTTTGACGCGCTCCTGTAACGGTCGTACCCATATCGCGTCCCTTAAAAAATTCGTCTATGATGACACTGGACGTGGACCATCCGAGACGGCTTTATCACTCGACGCTTGCTTGATGATGTGGTAATGTCGTAATAATCTAGACGCGTTTGTTATCGACAATGCCATTGCAGGTGAATTCGGGAACATAATATCGTAAACGATATTTTTTACCTCGCGTAAACAGTGTTGAAACCTGATAATTTTCCTGCGGGCGGGGGAGCTCACTTTTTTTGTCATCGGTCATCAACGGATGTTGTACGTTTTGTTGACAGCCGTATTTATTAGGGGGGTGAATTAAATTCTATGGGGGGGCGTTTACCCCACCCCACCCCTCACATTGTGATATTTGTTCTATATTTTTTCATTCGATAACCATTTCGTTTACCGTTTTTATAATATACCAGTGTTTCTTTCGGCGGGGGAGGGTATTAGCCCCTGAAAAAGAAATCATACCATCCCCGGAAGGGACGGATTCACGAACAGGCCAAGCAAACCTGGGCTTAGGGGCGCTATAATTTTAAGTTGTACAAAGGACGCAAATATTTTTTTTCTTTCATTTAAAACAAATAATTTCATTGAATTTTAATTGAGTTACATCTTTATAGATGGTTTTTGAATTCTTAGGCTGCCGGTGGCCTATATTATGTAGGACACCGTAAACAATTATTCTTATCGGGTTTATCTTATCATGTTCTATGATTATACGATGTCTACAACAACATCGAATCAATTGAATGCATTATCTCTATTAATATAGAAAATGAACTGAATTCGCTACCAGAAAATCCAGAAAAAAAAATTGATATTAGTATTTTATGTAAATATAATTACTAAGTAATTAATCAAATTCTTAGTTATTAAACACTAATTTTTATTGTTTGTTTTCATACAATTTTATTTAATGTAAAAGGCATGTTTTAAAAAAAAAAGAATGCAAGAGATTTTATTTTGAGCGGAACGAGGAATGTATTGGTTTTACAATTTTTTTTTTTTCTATAAATAACTTTTCTACCAGCAATTTTACTCCAATTTACAATTACAATAAATATAATAAGGGCGCCATTTTATACAAGGCTTAAGGGCACTGAATTTCTTAATCCGGCACTGCTCCTCCGAAAACATGACATTAGTACATTACAATACGTAAACTATGCACGCGATGCGATATGTGAAATGAGTTATGGGCCGATTATAAGTAATTTTGTTGGCGATAAAATAAAACAAAAAATATCCAGTTATATAAATAACCGCGTTTTTTAACGAGCTACGAAAAAAAAACCGTCATCATCGATCGTATTTTCGTAATTTTTTCCCCCAGGTGTAAAAATTCCTAGACCCGTCTCTGTTTTTGGCATACCGGACGCGCGCGACTGTTTTGTTTGCCCGTGCTCGACTTTACGTTGTCATTTATCGCGATTTTTTTTTTTTTTATCACTTGTATTATATTTCTCAGTGACGCTGACGGGATTCATCAATGGCCGGGGGAAGGGGGGGGGGTCCTACGACCTTTTCTTAAGCTTACCTATAGCAAAAATCACTCCCCCTCTTCCCACCCCATCTGGCTACGCCCCTGTGACTACGAATATGTATTGTACGAATAACAATAATAATGATTGAGGACCGGATTTATACATGCAAGTGCATACCACACGCGTGTTGGAATAAGCTTTTTGAAATCGCACGGGAATCGTCCCCGATTTAGATCATTCTTATTAAAAATAACACTAACTGCGTTTTGCACATTTCAACGTTTTTTCGTTTTTTTACCCATTCAACGCGCGTTTGTAGTTTTCACGGTGCGCATGTTTAAAAAAATACATGCGTATTCCGTACCATATTGCGGCATTTTTAGCAGAAGCATGCAGTTTGACGGTTTTTTCGTGTAAATCCGATGCCTAATAATGATTATTGTTGTTATTGCTGTGTATTCACCGGCGCGAGATAACACACCCAGCGGCCGCCGCCGCCGCCCGACATCGTAGATAATAAATAAATGATTTTTATTTGTCCGCGGTCGAAACGCACTCTTCCAAGCGGACCGCCGAATACTCTATGTGGCATCGCAATCCGGCCAATCCGATGGGCACGACATATGCGACGGAATGCCCGTGCCGGCGCGGTCGGCCGTGACGTCCGTCTTGCAGTCGTCGCCGCGTAAAAACAGCGGACCGGGCGCCCGGGGGACCCCGTTCGCCGAACTTTTCGCGTCGCGTTTCGTCGACTACAGTTCCGCGTGCCGTATAGAACAATAATTATTCGCGTCCGAACGGTTCCGGGGCGACGCGCGCAACGTGTTTTTAATTTATATTATTATCATTGTTATTGTTATTATTATTTATTTATTTTATTTTTTTTTGATTTTTGTTTCAAAGAAATGCCACATTCTTACGGGCACGTCGACGCGCAGCAGTTGTCGGTCGGAGACGAGCTGTACAACCTGACGCAGTTGGCCGAAGTCAGCATCGTCTACTTCAAACACCACACGGCCGCCGCTATCGCCGACGAGCATCCGATCAACAAATTCGAAAAGGCAAGTGGATTTCCATCGCGCGCCGTATGCTGCGCGCGTCATAATAAACAGTACAATACTATGTTGTAAAACTGTGTTCGTTTTTTAAGGAAAAAAAAAAAAACCCTAACCGTTCGTTTTTGATAAGGAATACGTTAATCGCGCCGTCGAATGCGACAGTGCGAACAGTGTGAAACAGTGCGAATTCTGGTGTAAAACACCGGAATAGTGTACACACTTTTTGGTGAAACGAGCTAAGAGCTACGCCGAAATGTTCTGCTCGTTACTGTTACGCGTTTGTCGTCCCTCCATTACGGGCCCGGAATACAAGCGTACGGTTTTACAATGTTGTTGTTACAATAACAATATTGTTCGTTTACCCGTGGGCGGTAGTAAAGAAACGGACGGGCCGCTCCGATAACAATAATTATCGTAGGCCGGGCGACGTTCCCGGGGAGGGACGGTAAACCCGGGGCGGTTCGTCGCCGCACACAGATGAAACGCATGAGACCGTCCGACCGTACCCGTCACTCCCGAAACGCCGATAAGGCGCCTGTGGGATAGCCCGTGCGTTTACCGGCACAGTGTGTGTGTGTAAACGAACGCGCGGTACGGATCGCGAAAAATTAATTCCGGCGGCCCGCGTTACGCTCCGTCTGCGCGTCACCGCATTGTCGACGTCCAACGGTATTGGAACTTCCTATCGGCCGTAAAACGCCGCGATACGTAATGACGTCATACTAAATTATACCTAGAAATTCGTCGGCACAAACCGGTGTACTACTGACTGGCTTGATGTCGATTATTTTACACCACCGGCGTAACAATTCGACAACGGAAATCGGTGCGCCCCCGCCGTCGTCCAAAATTAACAATGACAATGATAACAGCGATTAAATATTAATCAGTTATTGAAATTATTGGTGTATTGCCTGCACCGTACTTTCCATTTCCCGCTAATAAGCACTCAATAAAAATTAATTTGAATAGGTATTAATTGTTATCGTTGTCATCTATCTGCTCGTTTATTATTTCGAGGGGGGGGGGGTTTGATGAGAAGCGATGAAACCGGCGTAAATAGTTTGCAATTTGTTCCGGTTTGTACCGGCGATTCGTTTCCGGTGCATCTATAGACGGCGTAGACCACTGTATACTAATAGACGGGACTTTTTTTTGCACGTAGAACGGTCACAGACAGACGACGCTCTTCGCGTGTGACTTGTGACTTTTACGCGGTATTATATTGTACGTTGCACTACACATACAACGGCAATACTGATGTGATTACACTGCACGCCACTGTAGTACGTATGACCGGTTAATACCACGGCTACTCAATAGACAAGGCCAGTCCGTTAGTATAAGGTCTACGATAGACGGAACATTCAACATGAAAACGCGTTCCGGACGTTTCGGCGGCAGGAGTTTCGTTTCCGGGACAGACATAATAAACGGAGTGTTTTTGTTCGGCCGTCCTCGGGGCGCGAATTTCCTCTCACTCGCACTGTGCTTCTTTATTTCGTGTCAGCCCGTCGGTCTTGACATCCGTTCGGACCGACCGCGCCTACCGGCAGTGTTTAATTTTGTGTGTGTGTGTGTGTGTGTGTATGTGTGGGGGGGGAGTTGTTACCCCGCGACAGGAAAATGTACGCCGCCGCCCGAAAACGTACGACGTTACTGCATAAAACGACGCACGAAACGAGCGGTTACCGGCCGATCACGAGTCGTCGTCTGGTTGACGGTGAAATAAAACGAAACGTAACCAGTAGCCGCGTAAAAATAACCGTAAAAATGTCATCATCGAGCGTAGTTTCTTGAATTTTTTCTCCCGGGCGCATACATTCCTGTGCCTCTGGCGCGCCTACCCTACGGCGGAAATTTACGATACCCACTCCCTCCCTCCCGGGGGGGGGAGGGACCCGAAGGTCTGAAATGAACACCGCCCCTCTCTCGGGACCGAACGCTCCGGCGTCTAGTATATTAGACATCCATTGCGCGAGTCTATGAATAATATTATAATGACTTTTGCGCCCGTGCCAAACACCGAACGACGACGTCACGCGCCTACGCCGGACGGCGCAAAGAGTTGCGACCGTTGTCGGTATTATTACGGTTTACCCCGCGCGCACGTTCCGTAACAATAACGGTTTTGGATTTAATTCATTCAATATTTTTGACGCGTGCATTTTTCACGAAATAATTAGCACGCCCACGCGGTGTAGTTTATGCATGTGAACATTTTTAACGGGGAGGGGGGGGACTTAAAATAAAAAAAAAATCGTAAAGGTCAAAACGGCCATTTTGTCAAGTAGAGTTTTAGAAAATTGTCTGTGGTTGAAGCTTATGTTAAAGTGTGGTCTTTTGTTTTCCACGATATTTTGAAAAATTGAATGAACTCCTTTTCAATCATAACAATACTGTTTGTCAACATAAATTGCCATTATTGATTTACTTCTCCAATATCCATTACCTATTATATGATAATATTAATGCACGATATTAACTCACGGAAAAGAAAATCCCTGTCACAAAACCCCCTGACTAATGATAACCGATTAAATATTGTAATAGAAGAATTTTTGTACTTCGAAACAATCACTGCGGTGTCGTAATCACTTTGGCGAATACTTCCGAAAGTACTTAAACAAGAGTTTCAAACGCCGAAAATTTTCTGAAAATCCATTTTACAAAAATGGCCGTTTTTAATTGTTTTAAACAAAATTATAGTAGAATTTAAAATTGTTTACATTAAATCCTCCTACTTCTTAAAGAAAAAAAAACCACGTTCGTTTACGAACCGTAACGCAGAGGTATACTAATTATTTAAATAAAAAATTTTAATAAAAAAAAATATACCTGTGGAAAATATCGTATAGAACAAAAGTTATTTCAAGCGGCCGATCATCGTGGGACACGACCAGTACACTACTAGCACGAGGAGAGAAGGGACGGGGGAGGAGGCGGGGAGTGAATAGGGTCGTTTAACATCATTCCGCCACAACAGCACAAACCCCGCGATCAAACTGCGCTTGCGCGGCTGCACGCCCGCGGCCCAAAAACGATTCGCCCGCACGAGCGCTGCCATTCGCCGCTATTTTTCTCGTCACTCGGTGGTGAAGGGGGGGGCGGGCAATCCAGCGAAACGGGGGTGGGAGAAGGTGGGAAACGTTTCGCGGTTTTTCGAAAACGCCGCTGCGTTTCGCGGGTTTTCTTTCTCGGTCGGACGCTGTTACGCGCGACGCGCGACGCAAACCGGAACCGGTAAACACCGCGTAACTCGTTCGAATTTCCCGCCGTGCGGTACGTCGTCGATGTCTATCGGCGGCGAAGACGAGCGCGGGCGTCACACGAACTGGCGCGGCCGCGCGACTATTGGCGTGTCGTCCGCCGCCCGTCGACCGATTTCAAATGTTTTTCCGCCGCCGCCGTCGCGACAATCTCTCAATGCCGACGATCGACCGTTAACGGCGCGTGATAGCCGGACGGGTAAAACGGCAATGCCCACCGTCGGCAGTCGCCCGTGTGCCATTCGGAAATAACGTTTGCGAAAACGCGCGCGCGCAATTCGCACGTCGACCCGCGTGGTTTTCATCGGGTCGTCCGCAATTCGGAAAACTCCGGCCAGCACGGCCGAACGCTGCGAAACGATATTGTGCAGGTTCGGAACAAAAACGATTCGGACTGTTTTGCGGTGAGCGTGTAAAAACGTAAAACACAGAAAAAAAAAAATAATAAATACCGAATGACGATATTGGGGTTTTTTTGTTGATTTTCTAAGTGGTTTTCAAAAATAACGGGGAAAAACTTGGGACAACGGAAAAATGTACGAAATGTATTTTTTTCTATTTTCGTTTTTGTGTTGTGATTCAGTTAAAAATATTCGTACGGACTTGGAATTTAAACAGAAAACTTAGATTTGAGTTTTCTGGACGTGGTAAAATTTTCAAAACATTTTAGTTATTTTTAGACTTTTTAAGTTTACATTATTTTTATTCGGTAGGTACTCTGTGGATCAAACTGTTAAACCAAACAGAAATACTTGAAACATGAACAACAGGTTCATTATAAATCGTACTTTCTGGTCATACTAATGTACGCGCTTTCAAAACATGTTTGTTCGAACTCCTCTCAGAATCGTTTATCGTTGGCAATGATTAATCGTTGTGTACAGAGATATACATTCAATTTTCCTCCATATCCTACCTTCCCGGCTTCTCACCTACAACTGTTGGCCCACCCCGTCGTGCGAAGTATGTCCCGTATTTTTTTTCTCCGGATTTTCACAAAAATCGTTGAAATCGCGGCATTTTAGTACTTCGTAATATTTATTTCCAGTCTTCGGTCTCCGTGACACAATATAGATTTATAGGTCTATGGTTACCGCATACAGTAAAGGGGAGTCCACAACTCACCGTGTCGTTTCGTTTCGTGTGAAATACTTTTTTCTGATTGGCTCATATGATCATGGTAGACACACACATCTGCCAAGGTGCTACCGCGGATACCGCAGAGTTGAATAAAATTCAACTTTTGGAAGTGCTGATTATAGCTGGAAATGTCATTTTCGCGTTTTCATTTTAATAATAAATTCGATTAGTATTAAAAATTAAAAATTAATAGTCAGTTTTAATACTAGTTTAAATTCAATATGAACACTTATGGACTTCGCGAAGGTAAATAATATCTAATGTTATGTAAACGGTAAAATGTACATTTTTTAAGGACAGATATGCACTTTATGCAAAACGTTTGTTGTATTAAACACTTCGCACAGCTGTACTTGTGATGTGAAATCAGAAATTAGCGCTAGTGAGTACAATACCAAGCGGGTGATTTTAGTATAGGTCGTTGTTGTACCATTGATTTTAAAACCAATGCCTACTAGTAGAACCACCAGTAGTCGGTACATACCAGTAGACAGTGGGACGTAACTATTAAAAATAGCAATATTATACAATTAACTAAAGTTAAGTGAAACAATGTTGGTGTTTTTATTGTTGTTAGTTAATCGTATAGTACAAGTAAACTATGTTAATAGAGTGAATACTGTTCAGGTGATAATTCAATGACATCGCCTTTTTTTTTTTTTTTTTTTTTACGACTGAAAATAGTACGAACAATAAATAAACCCGAACAAAGTGTGGAGACGGTGAACTATCGATGGCATAATAATAATAAATATTCACAATTCGTGTGATTTAACAGCGACATTGTGTTTTAAGAAAAACCTACGATAATAATTACCGCGCGTTTTTGACAGTAGTGAAAGCGAGTGGAGCGATAATGTTGGTTGTCGGTAGAACGGCGGGTACGAATTATTTCGCGCGATCAAACAGGAACGTGCCGTATTTGTTTAAAACGCACGGAACGAGACGACGCGTTGCGGTGTCGGGGACTCAAGAAAAAAAACACCGGGTTACCGCCGTTAAAACAACCGGGTAACCACCGTGAGAAATACAAATCGCACAGTAACTCGAATGGTCATTAAATTATTAGCAACCGTTGTAATCAATACGCGCGGGCCGTGATTTTACGCGCGCGCGGTCTCTACGGCAATGCGTAGTATTGAACGGACATAACGAAAATAGAAACACAATCATAAGCCGAACGTGTCAACCGCGGTTTTGTTTACAACTAGGTTACCGAACTAATCGCGCGTACCGTATTCTGACGGCGTTTTGAAAAACGGACACGCTGAATTTCTCTGTCGAACTTTGCAGCTCGCGAACACGACGTGTAAAACCGTACACGATAAGTTCGGAGGAAAAAAAGAAAAGAAAAGGAAAAGATATTGCGCGCGGTTTTTAAGGGGGATGCACAGTTTTTCATTTATTTCTGTGCCTACCCAACGACAGTGTTAATTGTTGACGAAACGCGATTCCGAATGGAGTTCGGTTGAACGTGTTTTGAAATGCCATTACGTTTTTCGGGAAAATTTGAACTTAAAATCTTAATGAAAAAAAAAAAAAAAAAAAAAAAAAAAAAAAAAAACTTATATACGGCCAGATTTTTTTTTTTTTTCGTTGGACTCTCACTCCCAAGTACAATAAACGGTGAACTCGTGTTAAATTTCCAAACATTTTGAAATACATATGTAATTATACACGCGTAAATCGAAAAAATAGTAGGTATCTACGCGAAATGACGTGAATTTTATGATCTCCATTCCAATAAGAACTTTCATCGTGTACATAAATAAAACAACTACATCATGCTGAATTTTTTTTTTCACCACCAAGTACACCTTATGACGAACCTAGTGTAAAATTTTCGAGCATTTCTGATCGGCCAAATCAGTTTTAGTCACATAAAACTAAATAAAACATTCTAGAATATCAAATAAATAGGTACCTAATGTCAAATAGCTTAAAAATTTGCCCGAACGTTATGGAAATTTTACCATTTCTAGAAAACGCCAATTTTTTTTTTAAATAACTTGCACGTTGTATGGATTTTATAAGCAAAACGAGAAACATAAATTATAATACGAAATAGCCGCGGATCGTGTAAAATCGATCGAGACTTTTAATCCGGGACTTTTTTTTTTCCGAACGTCGCTAATATTAATAGGTACCTATTCTATGCAAATTTTACGTACACAATTAATTAATATTTCATTATTTAATTATTATTACAAAGAAAACCATGACCTTCTATGCAGTAGTTTGATCTAAAATGTTACGAAAATGTTGTTTCGTTATTTTTTTATCGAAGCGGATTTTTTTTTTTTTACTGAAACTAGTTTGTTTTTTTATGCTCTGTTAGAAAGGGCATGGCGGCGATGGCGAGATACTCGACCAGACAACGAAAAAAGTATCGAACAAGGAACGCCAGTGTCCGGATTGCGGGAAATGTTACAGCACATCGAGCAATTTGGCTCGGCACCGGCAGACTCACAGGTCTCTGGCCGATACTAAAGCCAGACACTGTCCCCATTGTAACAAGGTAAATAAGCCCCTTAAAACTAGATTTTGAAAATCCTAATAAAAAGATTTGAAATATTTAATATTCGAATGTTTTACTACTGTTTAAAGTATTATTACCGTTAATGTGTTTATACAAATACACATTTTGACCCGGATGATAATACATATGTATTATTCAAGATTTCATTGTTATTGAGTTTTTATTTGATAAATATTTATTTAAATATTAATTTAGGATAGCTATCAGCCGTATCATTTTTATAATGAAACAGATGTCTCTATACAACAATAGGTAGGTGCTTAGATGTTAGATACAACCTATTAGTGAGTAGAATTTGTAATGTGCATACCTTTATTTTTTATTTGCATTTATTAGAGAAAATACTTGAGTAAATTATATGATCTTTTAAACATTTTTAATTTCTATTAGGTATTTTAATTTAATAAAAAAAACAAGAATAAGAATAGATAGTTTTTAGTTAACATGTTATTTAGAGAAAAAAAAAATGAATTAAATAAAATTATAATACCAAGAAATTAGTAATACTTGTAATTTTTTCTATAAAACAGGATAATCTTAAAAAAAAAAAAACAGGTCGGGAGTAGCATTTAAAACCGTCAACTAGAATTTAAAATGCTCAATTTCTGTTAATAAGAATTGTAATTATAATTTATCACTCATAATTATTTGTTGTAAAACCATACACACACACACACACAATTTAAAAATTATCACAATAAATGTCATTTAATATTAATTTTTATTTAAAATTATTTCTTAACTATCAAACTTTATGGTGTTTTAGCCTTGCACATTTTGTGTACAAACCCATTAAATTATATTATTTATTTTCACAATTTAACATGATTAGCGGTTTTAATTTTTGATTGTTCATTTTGGATTTTAAGTAACATTTTATTAATTTTAATTTGTGTAATACTCTTTCTTTAGATACAATAGTCATAGGAGCAGTTACGACAAACTCGATTAGCCCATTGAAGAATTGATTTTGATGACTTAGATTTGTCAAAAATATTGGATAATTTTTTTCATCATGTTATTGATTTTTAATAGAATTTTTATTTCTGTGTAATATACATCAATATTGTGAATTTTCACACTATTTGTCATTTCAAGAAATATTTTTACAGACAATTATTTTTGTCAAAAGGCATTTTAAAAATATTAAATAAAGACATCAATGTTTCACTAGTACATTTTATACATTCATTTGTTAAATTATCAGATTTTCCAATACTTGTTTGAATTATTTTCTACAAAATCATTTTATTGAAAAGTCTGATAAAGTTGTTGAATCCACTCCTTTTGGTAATAATCGTTTGCTGTGTGATATAGTAAATTTTTCTCAATTTGAATTAATTTTAAATTTTGTATTTTTTAGCCAAACAAATTTACTAAATGCTAACTGAAATTTTAACATTATCAAATAGAGGGGATGTTATCCTCCTCCCCTTGGTTCTGATTCCCAGGGTTTTTTGGTTCCACCTCTCAAATTTTTCATCATACATTCATATCTATTGTATATTTGTAAAATTGATTACTGTCTTAAAAAAAAATGTCCATATTTATTTGAAACTATTTGAAATATTGAATAACAGATATGATACTCGTTTACCTCGAGCATGTTAACTCGTTGTAGGTATTTTATGAATTTATTCATTGTTTTTTTATGTTATAGGTATACGTTTCGATACCAGCCTTTTCAATGCACATGCGAACGCACAGTCAGTCGTGCAAGTGCCATTATTGTGGTAAATGTTTCTCCAGACCGTGGCTGTTGCAAGGACACATTCGTACACACACGGGTAATAATATTACACAGTTTAAATTGTTGAAATCCACCATCCAGAAATATTAGAAAAACAAGCAAATTATTAGATAACATTAATTGAATACAATAAAAATTAATTGTATCAACCTTCTTTCCCCGAAACTTTACCTTGTATTCGTGCTTGACTTGAAATATTAAGCACATTGTTTGATGTGATGAACATTATAATTTCTATCTAGTTGATCATGGCAATGTCTTTAGAGAATTATTAGATGATTTTCATTCTCTTTCGTGGCCGCAATGGCCATGAAATTGCGCTAACCTGATTCATGCATCATTTTACAATGAAATTAAATATTTCTAACAATAAAACATATTTTGATAAAATGCCATTTGAAAAACCAGATTTTGTCAAAAGTAAATATTATGCTATCCGATCAAATAACTAGTTATACAATCGGAGTTTCATAGACATTTTATCTTCAAGTTGTTAAAATATTGAGTACATTTTAATTTGTATTCAGTTATTTTTAATGTTATTCTAAGAAACGTTAGTTCTCTTCTCTGTTACTTAATATCTTTAATTAAGTCTCATTAAAAAAGAAATTATATATTGTTTTTTAGGTGAAAAACCATACGAGTGTGATAAATGTTTCAAAGCATTTGCGGACAAATCAAACTTACGAGCACATCTACAAACTCATTCTACAGAGAAACCACATGTTTGTCAGAAATGTAACAAGGCATTTGCTCTCAAATCGTACTTGTACAAACACGAGGAATCTGCTTGTGGTAAAATGGCACCATTGAACAATAACAATGAATAGGAACCTTATTTTTTTTTTATTTTTTTTTTTTATTAGATTTAAATCAAAATTTCTAAACAGTTGTTTTTTTTCTTTGTATATTTTATATAATAATTTAAGTTTTTCTTAAAATTCTCTCCTCTTTTTTTTCCCCATTTGTAAGAAAATATAATGTGGCGGAGAATGTAAGCTTTTACTTATCGGTGAATACTTAACATTTGTGCTAGAAACATAAAACATTTACAACATTATATTTAAATACAATTTAAAATATTTTAAGAAAACATTGTATATAATAACAATGCAAGTTTTCATCTTATTTCAAACAAATTTAAATACAAAACAACAAATAAATAAATAAATAATACAAAAAGAAGGAAAAAGAAATAAAAATAAAACAAAATAATCTAATTTGAATTAATTAGATATAAAACAACATAGCTGCTTTACATAAAAAAAGATCTGAGCAATAAGTGTATATATTTGTTAAGGCATTTAAAACCCGACCAATGCATTTTTACCAAATCAAATAAGCGGTTACAATGGACCTTTAGATAATGTATGTTCATTTGAGTTAAAACATTAAGGTAAATTTGTTTTATTATTAAATGATAAAAATAAAATAAAATGGCTCAGATTATTTTTTTACACTGTTAATTTTTTTTTTTTTTTTTTTTTTTTT